GTTTGTTAATAGCGAGAATTGGACCTTAAAATAAAATGTGACCAAGATTCCTTTTTTCCTTATGGGCTATCTTATATGTGATTGACTCATTCTAAATGTGTCATACCTCTCTTAGTGTGGCCAGAGTCTTCTTATCAATGGTGGCCTGTTTTTGCAGGTCTTTGTTCTCTCTCTCCAGCTCTTTATATCTCCCTGCAGCCTCTTTAAGGCGGCCCAACTCTTTATTGAGAGCCGTGCTTTCTTTCTCCATGCTAGCCAGCCTGAGGCAGTTCTCTTCCAGCGCTGTCTCCTTCACCTCCAACTGCTGCCTCAACCTACGTGTCTCCTTCTCCAGCTGCTTCTTCTCCTTCTCCACCTGGCCCAATTCCTGCTCCATTCCTCTCTTCTCTTTCTCCACTGCTTCTGCCCATGACACCATCTGCCTCAACCCCTCCAACTCTCGCCGCAGATCTTTCATCTCTGCCTCATTCTGCTTCAGCTCGCCCTCTAGACCCTGAATCTTGGTGGCGCTGTTGTCCAGGGTCTGCTGGAGCCGTTGGTTTTCCTGGCTCAGACTGCTGTAGTTTTTCTCTAGTCTTTCACTTCTCTTGGCCTGGGAGCGGAGCTCCTCCAGCGTGCGGCACATCTCCTCGTGTTCCCGCTCTAGTTCGGCATGTTCCTGCTGTAGTTGAGCCAGGCGAGCGGCAGCCGGCCGCAGGGTCTCCAAGGCACGTCGCTGCTCCAGGTTCTCCTCCTCAAGTTGCTGGTGATCCTTCCCCAGAACAGCCAAGCGAAGGCTGGTGTTCTGCGCCGCGTCAGCCAGCTTCTTCAGCCGCCTATTGTCTTGTTCCAGAGTAGCGTTCTCACGCTCCAGGGCCTCGGCGCGTTCACTGCCAATCTTTAAGGAGGCAGCTTGCCTCTGTAGCTGTTCTCGGACTCGCTCCAGACGTGTTACCTCCCTTTCCAACTCCTCACAGTGCTCTCCTCGCTCACGGAGAGAGTCAAGCTCTTTAGTCGCCTGTCGTTTCTCAGCCTCCAGACGAGCCAGTTTACTGCCAGTTTCAGAGATGGTCTGGTGGAGAACACGGTTTTCTGTCTCCACCTCCCTCACACGCGCCTCGCTGTTCACCTGAGCACGTTTCCTGAGGGAGTTCATGGCCTGGGTCAGGTGCTCTTTCTCCTGCTCCAACTCTGAGATCTAATAGGCCACACATACAAATAAACAACATTTATGAATGAATAATTCATATAATGTTCTGATCATCATGGGCTTTCTTTCTTTAAATGTTCACCTGTCTGTCTTTATCTGCCTGGATTGTCTCTAGAGTTTTTTCCAGTCTTTGTTTGTCTTTTAGCAGCTCCTCTCCAAGGTTCTCCATGTCCTGAGTTGTCTGTTTCTCCTGTTCCAACTGGGACTGCAGACGCTCCAACTAAAACACACAACACAGAAGAGATCTCATCAGCATTCACTATTCTGGCTCTCAGTTAACATTTAAAGGAAATGCAGAAATTTTATGTACCTTCTTGCTGTGGCTCTGATTCTCTCTTTCCAGTTCCAGTGCGTGCAGGTGACCTTCTTCCATGGTAATGGAGGC